AGGTTTACACAGGGAAGGACATTTTCTTTTTTGGTTACCAGGGATGGGAGGAGAGGGAAAGGGAGGGAAAATAGATGGATAATTAAGAGGTAGGTTTGATATGAGTGAAGGGATTTAATTAAAAAAAAATAGTAGAAGAGGATTCTTGATTTGTTTCCCCCATGTGAGATCTACCCTATAATGCCACATTTTATTATTTCTTTCAGAATAATGGATAAAGAACATTTAAATTTAAAGGTATCCATCCCCATATATTCATACAGTAGTCATCTTATTGAAGAAGAAGAAAAAGGAGGAGGAGGAGAAGTGGGGGAGGAAGTACCCACTTTGACCTACCTGGCACTCTCACTCCAAGGTTTTCTCTGGCACTGCCCCATGTTTGCTCAGTACCAGGGTCTCTAGGCACTGACGGGCACAGCCTGCCCAGACCCAGGCCTGCATCCCCAGCTTCCTTCACAGCCAGATGGAGCCACGGCAGCAGATGGGGCTTTCTTTCTGGCTCCAGTCACTGCCTCAGACGGTGGGTGGAGTGACAACTAATGGATCAACAGATCGAAGGACCTGGGTCCCTGACGGGAGATGAGGAGACTCTCCCAGTTCTAAGCTGACATCTTGGGGTTTCCTGAACATGACAACACAGGTGCCCTCATACTAAGCCATTATTAAATTATGCTGGTCTTTTACATGCAGTTAAATGTCATTCTAACCACAAGAGAACTGGCAATTCTTTGGTGACATCCTTCACTGTTTGCCGATGTCAGTTACTACCTTCCCAAGGACACACAGATGGCCAGAGAGTTCATGCAGAAGCAGATCCAGGCCTGGATGAGGGGGTGTGCGTGTGTGTACAGGGAGCAGGACATGACTTAGATGGTACCCGATAGTGTCTAGGGGAAAGGACTCCTTGGTGACATGGCCATATGAAGACCTTGGTGTGGGAGACAGAATTTCTACAGATGGGAATTTGTGGGAAAGCTCATTTTAGTTTTTCACATGGAGAGAAGGAGCTAACAATTTAACTGGATCACCATTGGAAAACAATAAACCAGGTAATGGGGTCCTGGTGTGTTATGGTTTGTTTCCCTGCAAACTATGTATTGGAATCCTAACTGCTGGATCTGTGGATGTGGGAACAGGCTTTCTTTTTTGTTAATGAGGCCATATTAGTGTAGGGTGGGTCCTAAGCCTAATCACTTCTAAGGTTTAAAAAGTTCAGATTAGACACAGAAGTGAAAACATTCTGAGGAAGACAGATGCCATGTGAGGACCACCAAGGAACTAAGGAATCAAGGAATACCTGGGGCTAGCAACAAGGAAGGATCAACAAGGCCAAGACCCAGATTTGGACTTTCAGCCTCCAACATTTCTATTCTTTAAATGTGTGGTGTTTGTGTTATAGCAACACTAGGACACTAAGACATGGTGAAAGAAGAAAAGATGGAGACTGGGAAAAAAGAGAAGGATCTGCCTAGTTTCCACCAGTGCTGGAAGATGCTATAACTCCTTGGCCCTCCAGTCCCACCCAGTCTGAGCTGTGTGAGTTCCCACATGCGTGTCAGAGCTTGGCCTCATGGCTGACATGCAGTACCAGAGGGAAGTGACTTCATTGTTACAACTCAAGAGTGTGTCTGGGGTACCCAGTCTGCTGTCTGGGGTCACTGATGAGCCAGTTGCTATGGCAACTCCTCTTCCTGATGGGGTGGGGCACCAGTCATGTGGGGCTGCTGTGCCACAGGCCACCACAGGCCCCAGGATCTCCCACCTAGCGGTCCCTACTGGAATCGGACCCAACTTGTCATGATGAAGCCGGCCCAGCACAGGCACCTGATCTATGTGTGGGCTGAGGGAGGGGTAAACATTCCCATGGAGTATTGCCCAGGTGGGGTCATCTAGTTCAGCCACTTCCCATGAGGAAAATGACCAGCAGTCCAACCTCTCATGGCTGGTTCCCAAACTCTGGGGGCCAATGCAGCTGGGGAAGGGCTGGGGCAGGTCCCTGGGCTGAGCCAACGTGTGGAATGTCCAGGAAGGCTGCTGACAGGCCCATGGAATTGGGGTCCAAGTCTGAGCAGTTTTTATAAGACCATGTCTGAAAGCCTCCCTGAAGGCGTTTTTGTGTGCTATCACTGCAGAGCTAGGAGCATCTCAGGAAAGGCTTGTGCACCTGAGCTCTGTGACATGGGCCTGTGGGAGACTGCAGTCTATCGGAGTCAGCCCAATGTGGGAGGGCAGAGCAGGGCGGCTGCCAGCACCTCTGGGCCTGGTTTCAATCGAAACCTCTCTATTCAGTCCTGGAAACCTCCCCAAGTGCATGGCATGGTGCCCACGAGTATTTTCACCCAGAAATATGAGTGCTCCCCTGCCGACAAAGCACTTCCCTAACCTGAGGTTAAAGTGGCAAGAGGGTGGCATGGGACCCAGTCAATGGAGCTTCTTTCATACAAGGGCCCAGCCCCCTGATGGCTGCCTCTCTCTTGTGAGCCCGAGGGATCTGGCCATCCCTGTACCTACAGCCCTGACAAGGAGAGACCTCAAAAGCACTGGGCTTTTGGGCATGGCCCCCACTAGGCAAGGTGGGTGGAGCTTGGGGAGGGCCAAGGGAGTATGCAGGCAGTAGGAGGGCCATACTCTGTTCCGCCAGCTTCAGTTGTGAGAACAACTACATAACCTCAAGGAGAGCACGGCTGGGGGCTCGGCCTGCCCTGCTGACCCCATCCCACTCTGGCTTCCACAGGTGGCACAGGAGTCTGGAGTGGAGCATGAGCCCATGGCCATCCATCCCGTTGGCCTCCTGCATGGCTGAGAAAGCACTGTGCACTGATGATGAATGTTGTCCCTCAGGGACCCTAACTTCAAGCACATGACCTGCAGGTGGATGAGGCTAGCAGGAGCCCCAGACCACTAAGAGGGCAGGGCAGCACGTCTGAGCAGGCAGAGCAGATGGGGCAGGTGGACTCTAGTGCTGTGGGGAACATGTGGCCCAGGATGTTGGCTCTGGGGTCTGTAGGGGTGGAATGGGAGCAGCCAGCTTGAGGGACCGTGGACCTGGTCAGGGTTGAGCTACCTGGGGGAAAAGAGGGGTTTTTGTGGGGCTCTGAGCAGACAAAGGCTTGATCCTCCTTGGTGCTGGCACTAGAGACCCCTCCCCTGGGGCTGAAGGGCTAGGAGAGGCAGGGGACAGAGGGTGTTGGGGGAGAAGCTGGGCCCCTAGAGGCTGCCTGGCTCTATGGATGGGCGCACAAGGAGGGTATGGGCCTGAGAGAGGAAAGAGGGGGCCATCTTGGCTCATTGGGTGGACTGGCTAGATGGCTGCCTATAAGGCCATCATCTGTGGGGACTCTGAAAGTGGCCTGGAGCAACAGCAGGAACTGGGTATCCTTAGGGCAAGTGCAACGGACCTGGCAGGGAGCTTGGAAAAGCACTGTCCCTGAAGCACACACATGATGATGGACATCTTGTCTAGACTGTCACCTTAAGACCTCCTGGGGATGGGAGGGCACTTCTCTTTCACATCCCCTGCTGTCCACTCAGTCACATCTAGACGTCATGTGGACAGTGTCTCAGCACAGTCCATCCTGTTCTGTACCCCAGGAGCCCTGCTAGCCCCTGACCCCACCTTGCAGCACCAGAGACCAGATCTCAACTGTGGGGCAAGGGGCAGCATATGTCTGTCAGTGCTGGGTCCTCTCCAAATAGCTGCGGAGGGTGTTGTGACTTGAAACACACAGGGCTTGAGAAGGAACCGCCTAAGCCCCGTTTGTGAACACTCTCACTCCACTGTCAAGTCTGGAAGAATCAGAAGACACTCCCTGGGGTGCCCGGGCCTGACTGAGGGGAACTGCCTGTGACCCCACCCTCTCCTAGAGCCCCCACCCAGGTGATGCAGGGTACTGACGTCTCTGTCACCTTAACTGCTCATCAAGGATGTCCCCGCATTAAGATGCCATCCACGTATTTACAATGGGAGCGTTTCATATCCCTGAGCACAATAATGGTGATGATTAAACTCTGAGTCAACTCCAGAGCCCTGGTGCCTGGCTCATGTGATAATTCCAGCAGTCGGGGTAAGGCAAGGCTGCACCTTCTGCAGAAGCTGGGCCCAGGGCCGGGACTCCCTGAGGAACTGCTGATCAGACCCCACATGGGCACCGGTCCTCTGCATGCTTGGGGCTGACTGATTGGTGGAGGCTAGGGCACATACATGTGACTAGTCAGAGCACCCAGGGGTCAGAAGACTGTGGTGCCAGAGTGTCCATGCCCAGGTGGACCACAGAGTAATGGATGCTTTGAGGGGTTTGCTGCCATCCAGGCCTGGCCTTGGCCTGCAGAGCCACAAACAGCCTGCGACGTTGTGGCCAGGGCTGCCTGGCAGCCAGGCTCAGGGTGGACAAGGCACAGCCCACCTCCACCGCATGCTCATAGCAAGCCCTGAAGCTTCTGGGACACTGCGTGGCCACCACGTGACCCCTGTCCCCCGATGGTCGACCAGCATGTCCCTGGACACCAACACATCTCCCGAAACCAAAACCAAAACCAAAAATCTGTTGCCATTGAGTTAATTCCAACTCACAGAGACCCTACAGCACAGGGCAGAACTGCTCCAGACGGTTTCCAAGACCAATCTTTACGGAAGCAGACTGCCACATCTTTCTTCCAGGAAGCGACCGGTGGGCTTAAACTGCTGAGGTATTAGTTTGCAGCTGAGTGCTTAACCTCTGTGCCACTAGGGCTGCTTTTAACACAGCCCCTATTTGCCCTTTAACCTACTCAGCGGCCCTGCCGCTGAGAGGATTACTTGGTCTCCATAAGGCCTGCTGGTTCCAGCGCTTTCTACCTCTCCCAGACAGTGAGCCCAAGCATGAGCCCACCTCTTTCTTTTTTTTTTTTCAAGCAGAGAACCCGGCTCTGAAGGATGGCTTTATTCCCTCCCACCCAGGTCTGGGGTGCTGCTGCCGCCCGCCTCCCACACCTGAGCCCCAGCCGCCATCACATCCACTCACCGGATGGGCTGGAGGGGTCATCTCCCTGGCTCTGCAGGGCATCCCATGCTGGCAGTGGCTCCACGTCAACTGTGGGGAGCAGCGGGTCGGCTCTGGCACTTTCTGCTGTTGCCCGGGGCTCCAGGTTTCCAGACCCAGACTGGAGGCTTGACAGAGGGTAGGAGATGCACTCAAATCCACTGTGAAGGGAAACAGTGGGCCTGATTCCACCCATCCCATGACCCCAAACGGGGCAGAGGGTGGGGGAACAGTGGTCCGGGGCTGGACAGGGAGGAGGACACCCCAGGCTGTCAGGGCGAGATGGCCACTCCAAGCCTGTTGGTAGAGGTGCACTGTCCGACTCGTCTTGGGGTTACACTCATCACCCTGAGACCCAAGACGAGGGAGGGACTTGCGGTGGGGAGTGCAGGTCTCTTGGTTGGAAAGAAGAGCCACTCTCATTATCTTGCCAGCACCCCCTGCACACACACACTGCCTCTGCACATGCTGGGCACGGCAGGCTCTCACAGAGAGCACAGAGCAGCAGCGCCACGTTGGCTGCCCTGTTGTTCAAGTTATTTCTGCTTCTGGCTGTGAGGGTCAGGAGTGAAGTTTGCACTGCAGAGGGGCTGCGCACAGCCTCTCTCGGTATGACCTGCAGCTCAGTGCTGCCTCTGGAGAAGTCATGGGCTGGAAGTCGGGGCAGCCAGCCGAAGTGCCAGGTTTGGAAACCTGGGAAGCATTTCCTCTAGAACAAGCACCAAATATCCCTGCTCGTCACAGCCAAGAGCTCAGTTCTTTGGATGAAGGAGGAAAAGGCTCTAAAGGGGCACAGGGGTCCCTGGATGGTTGTGGTAGTTCGGTTTGTGTGTCAACTTGGCTGGGCCTGGTTAAGTGGCTGGGCAGTTGGTGGTAGTTATTCTCCATGATGAGACTGGCAATCAGCTCCATGGTGGGATCTACGACAAGCAGTTGAGTAGCTGCCTCTGGGAATGTGGTCTGCTTCCTGTATTTAAGGAGAAGCCTTGGGAATGGTCTGTAGCCTATGGCACACTTGGACCCTGCATGTAGCCGTGTCTTTGTTGAGCAGCCTGCTATGCTCTGCCGACCTTGGGACTTACAATGGATTTAAGTTAATGGCCTGCCGTGTGGTTTGGTAACATTGGGACTGTGCCTTTTTACTTGTCAACCGTGGGGCTTCTCAGCCTCAGCAGCCAATAGCTGTTTGAGTGAAGAAACGCCTCTAGCTTCAATGGGCCGGGAGCAGGAGGCAGAGCTGGACCCCAATGTTGAGGGGCTTTCACTCAGCCCCTAGAGCCTGGCACTTTGAACTTGGACTTAAAGCCTCCAAATTGTGAGAATAAACTCCTGTTTGTTACGGCCATCCCCTTTGTGGTGTATTCCTGTCAGAGTGGCACCAGGGAACCAGAACAGGGGTGTATACTGGTAATGCACACGGCTGCTAACTGAAAGGCTGGAGGTTTGAGTCCGCTCAGAGGCACCTTGGAAGAAAGGCCTTGTGATTGATTTTTGAAAGGCCACAGCTGTGAAGCTGCTCTACTCGGACACATGTGGATAACTGATTTGATCTTGGTTAAATGAGCTCAAAACTAACTCAGCTGAGGAGGGATTTTACCTTGAGAAGCATATCTGGGTTGTCCTAAGGCCTTTCACTCGTAATTATCAGGAATTGCAATGCTGACAGACATGCTGTCAGCCTGAGTGTGTCCCCAAAGGGGCCAGAGTGGCCAAGCCCAAGATTGGGGACAGGCGTTTGGGGGACTATATCCAGTTCTGGGTCCAAGAGCAGCATGCTGGCCTTGGCTGACCCACCCCCAATCCCCTGCCTCTCCATGGTGGGTGATGTTGATCTTATCAGTGACAACTAGATGGTGAAGACTAATACGCTGTGAGAGGCACTGGGGCTGGCAAGCCCTCCTCACTCCTAAATTCTCTGATGGGGTTTTGAAGAATGAGAAAGAAAAAGCTTCTCTGGGAAGGAAGGGGAAAAAAAGGAGAGAAGGAAGAGAGGGAGGGAGGCAGAATAGAAACAAAGAGAGCGGGAAGGTGGGGGATGAGCAAATAGGGAGAGATTAGGAACAGAGGCGACCTGGTGGGAGAGGAGGTGGGGAGGGGGAGCAGGTGGCTGCTCTGTGGAAGTCACTCAGGGGCTCAGGCTGGCCAGGCTCCACCTGAACACGTGTTCTCCTGAGGGTCAGTGCAGGATATAGGGCCCTGGGTGAATTGTACATGGGGAGGGGACACATGGGGAGGAGATACATGGGGCGGGAGCACACACTTTCCACTCACACATCACTGTCAAGGCAACTCACAGGCCTGTGGGTGAGGGAAGGCCTGGGGTAGAGCAGGCTTCCAGAGTATTCCTCCTCTCAGTTAAAAGGGCCCCTTCATGCCCCCCACCGAGGCCACTGCCCAGGGCTGGTAGGCTTCACTCACAATGGTGTCAAGATAGGTGCCTCTCTGTCAGCTGCATCCACCTTGAAGAAACTGACGTCAGAGTAGGCTGGGAGCTGCACATACCGGACGCCTGCCGAGATCCTCAGGACTCGGCCTCTTTCACCTTTCCAGGAGAGAAGACAGCAAACAGTCCACTTGGGCCGGGCCAAGGGGGGACAGAAGGTGAGGAACTAGCCTCTAGCCCCTCATCCTAGAGACCTGGCCAGCCCAAGGTAGGGGCTTGGGACCTGGACATTTCACAGAACCCTGACCCTTGCTCTATCAGCACAGATCAGTGGCTCCTGGCACGAGTGCCTAACTCTACTTACTAGTGAGGGCCTTGTGGGTCTCGTCCTTGTTCCCTGAATTGGTACTACCTCTTGTCCTGGCCCATCGCCTGAACTCTCTGGAGGGTCTCTCCCCTGACCAGTCTCATGGTGTCAAACCACGCTGTCTGTAGCTTCAGGCTAGGAGGCAGGTACTCACTCTGATGGTCACTGTCCCTTTTTCTACCCATCTCCTGCCTTGACCCTGAGGATGGGCTCTGTCCCACTCATCTGCACTCCGCCAAGTACATAGCACAGTGCTGGGCACACTGTCAGTGCTCAAAAAATGTTGCTGAGTGGACATGTGATGCCTCTAGAGTCAGCTTACCAGGTATAGGCATCCATCCCTGTCACTTCTGGCCCTAGGACCTGATAACATCCCACGGCATGGACAGCACTGTCCACTGTCCCTAGGGATCACCTAGTATAGCTCCTGCCAGGCCCTGCTGGGGGCAGGTGGACATAGAGGCACTAGGCTCCCTGCCCACAGGGGCATCTGGCCATGGCTGGAGGACCCAGATGGAAAGGCGTGCTGGGCAGCACATGAGGCATTCAGGCATCTGGAGAGAGGCTAGGCAGCTGTGCCCCAGAGGGGAAGTAGAAGGAGAGGGCTCCTGGTCTGAGGCAAGGCAGATCCACGGAGCTGATGCTGAGTATTGGGGCATTTCCAGACTCAGGGAATTGGAGTGTGGCTAGGTTTCATAAACTTGGGACACTCAAAGGAACAAAGGCCAATGAGCTCCCACCTGAGGTTGGCAGTAAAGAGTGCCTACTCTGGCCAGGGTCTCAGATCTGAGGGACTGCTTTGGATAGTGGGTGGTGGGGCCCTAGGTCCTCCAGCCCCAGTACCACGCAGGGTCACATGGACCCTGAGAAGTCCAATGGGGAAGGAGTAGTCAAAAGGCACTGCTGACCACTGTCAGTGAAAGACATGATTGTCCAGCCTCTCCATCATTCGAGTCTGGAAAAGGATACACACTAGCTTTGTTGCTATTGTTGTTGGTTGCCATCGAGTTGGCTCTGACTCATAACGAGCCTATGTACAACAGAACAAAACACTGCCTGGTCATGCGTCATCCTCACAATCCTTGCTGTAACTGAGCCCATCGTTGAAGCCACTGTGTCAATCCATCTCATTGAGGGTCTTCCCCTTCTTTGCTGACTCTCCACTTCACCACACACACAAGATATCCCTCTCCAGGGAATGGTCCCTCTGACAACATGACCAAAGTAGGTCAGATTAAGTCTGGCTATTCTTGCTTCCAAGGAGCATTTCGGCTGCACTTCTTCCAAGATAGATTTGTTCATTCTTCTGGCAGTCCATGGTACTTTCTTTTTTTTTAATATTTTATTTATTTATTTATTTTTATTTTGATTTGGGTGAAGATTTACAGAGTAAATTCACTTTTCATACAGCAGTTCACATATACTTTGTCTCATGTCATTGACCAAAATTTACAATGCAACAGCTCCCCTCTTACTTCCTCCCCATAGTTACCTCTTCCCAGTGTCCATCCCTCCATACTCTTCTGCGCCCTGAGCTGTCTCCCTGTGCATAAGCAGCCCTTCCTTCTCCCATGATTGTTCTCTCCAGGGCGTGTGTCTACTTGAGGTAAATGTTTAACTCACTTGCCTGTACTTTGTTTGGCTGGAAACCACAGGTGTGGGTTCAATTCCAGACCTGAAGGGCAGCTGGGGGCCATAGTCTCAGTGGTTCCACCAGGCTCTATTGGACCAGCAAACCTGGTCCCCACCTTCTTCTTCCTTTTTTTTTTTGCCTCCAAATGGTTTTGAGTTTTGTTCCACATTGTTCTCCCTCTCTATCAAGGATCTCCTACATCCCTTCCAAGTGGATGACAGTGGTAGCCGGGCACCATCTAGTTCTTCTGGTCTCATAGTTGTATAGGTTGCAGATCGGATGATGTACCAGTCGCTAGGACTGATTGTTTCCATTAATTTTGGTTTTCTTCTTTCTTCTTGACAAGGAGAGACCCATCGTTGCATCTAGATGGCAGCTTGCTAGCTTTTAAGGTCCCAGTCGCTACTCGCCAAAGTAGGAGGTGGAACAATGTTTTGTATAGTATGTTATGCCAATTGAGCTTGATGTTCCCTGTGACTATGGTCCCAAGCCCGCAGGATCAACTACTTGGTCGCTCTGGGTAGCTGGCTGTGACCAAGCAATGACCATAACCTTGCCCCTTGTCAGCTCTACTATACACCTGGGAATTCTGATCGTTCACATAAACTTATAGGACCATTGTCTGGCAGTCCATGGTACTTTCAGTATTCTTCGCCAACACAACTCAAAAACATCAACTCTTCTTTGATCTTCCATATTCATTGTCCACCTTTCACACATATATGAGGTGACTGAAAATACGATGGCTTGTGTTAGGCACACCTTAGTCTTCAAAGAGACATCTTTGCTCTTCAGCACTTTGAAGAGGTCTTTTGCAGCAGACTTTTTCAGTACAATATGATGTCTGATATTTTGACTGCTGCTTCCATTGGTATTGATTGTGGATCCAAGTAATATGAAATCTTTGACAACTTCAATCTTTTATTGATTTATCATGATGCTGCTTATTGGTCCAGTTGTGAGGATTTTCATTTTCTTTATGTTGAGCTGTAAGCCATACTTCAGACTTACTCTTTAACCTTCATCAGTAAGCATTTCAAGTCATCTTCACTTCCAGCAAGCAAGGTTGTGTTGCCTGCATATCACAGGTTGTTAATGAGTCTTCCTCTAATCCTGATGCTGTGCCTTTCTTCATATAGTCCAGCTTCTTGGATTATTTGCTCAGCACACAGACTAAATAAGTATGGTGAAAAAATATAACCCTGATGCACACCCTTCCTGATTTTAAACCACACAGTATCCCCTTGTTCTGTTTGAACAACAGCTTCCTGGTCTATGTACAGGTTCCTCATGAGCACAATTAAGTGTTCTGGAATTCCCATTCTTCTCAATGTTATCCATAATTTGTTATCATCTACATAGTTAAAGGCTTTTGCATAGTCAATAAAACACAAGTAAACATCTTCCTGGTATTCTATGCTTTCAGCCAAGATTCATCTGACATCAGCAATGATGTCCCTCTTCCATGTCCTCTTTCGAATCCAGCTTGTGTTTCTGGAAGTTCCCTATCAATATAATGCTGCAACCATTTTTGAATTATCTTTAGCAAAATTTTACTTGTGTGTGATATGGCACTTGACTGCTAACCAGAAGGTCAGTGGTTCAAACCCACCAACTGCTCTGCAGAAGGAAGATGGGGTGATCTACTTCTGTAAAGACATGCAGCCTCAGAAACCCAATGGGAGTCGTTATGAGTCAGAAACAATTTGATGGCAGTGAGTTTGGTTTTGGGGAGCTCTGGTGGCATAGTGCCTATGGCATTGGACTGCTAACCAGAAGGTTGGAGGTTCAAACCCACCAGCCACTCCTCAGAAGGAAAGTTGGGCAATCTACTTCCATAGAGATTCCACCTCAGAAACTTAAGGAGGGGTCACTGTGAGTTGGCTCCAACTCGACAACAGTGAGTTTGGTTTTGGGTTTGGTGATATTAATGATACTGTTCAATACTTTCTACATTCTGTTGGATCACAAATGGGTATAAACATGGATCTCTTTCAGTTCAGTTCTAGAGTTCAAAGGGCAGAAGGGCAGAGAGGAGAGCTGCACAGAGAGGATCCCCTTCATGTAGTCAGCAGAGCATATCCAGCAGAGGCAAGTGAGGGAACCACACAGGCCCAGAGACAGAACCTGATCGAGGACCATCTGATAGGATCAGAGGGAGCAGGGCCTGAGGCATACACAGGGCTGAGAATGGTGCTCCTTTCCAACAACCAGACCAGGAAAACTCAGAACTCATAAGCACTGGCTAGAGCACTCACAAGGGTCTTATCTTAGTAATGGGGAATAATTATCCTAGACTGGGCACTCCTCCAGACCCACCTAACAAACTATAAAAACAAGACCTGAAAGGATCAAACTGTCTCCAAGTAACTGAACTATGCCCCAGAACAAAGCTCAGGAGTGTTTATAAGAATACAAAAATACTCAGCCCTCGACAAGGTAGAATTTACAATGTCTGGCACCCAATTAAAAATGACCAGGCATGCAAAGAATGGAGAAAAGCATGGCCCGTAACGAGGAGTGGAATCAGTCAACTGAAGCCAATCCAGAACTGACACAGATGTTGGCATAATGATAAAAGGACATTTAAAAAGTTAATGAACTGCATGATGGAATACTGTGCAACCCTAAAGAATAATGTAGCATCTCCAAAACACCACATAACGTGGATGGACTTGGAGGATATTATGCTGAGTAGAATAAGCCAATCACAGAAGGACAAATATTATATTATTACATCATTGTAAAAAGTTTAGGAAAGGTTTATATATAGATGGAAACTTTCTTTGTTGGTTACCAGGGACAGGAAGGGAAGGGAGGGGAGAGAAAATTCCTAGATAGGTTGGAAAAAAAAAAAAAAGATATATACATATATGACATATACATATAATAGAGAAAGAGAGAGAGCTCTGGTGGCATAGTGGATAAGGCGTTTGACTGCCAACTGGAAGGTCAGCAGTTCAAGTCCACTAGCTGCTCTGCAGAAGGAAGACAGGGTGATCTACTTCTGTAAAGATTTACAGCCTTGGAAACCCAATGGCGATGAGTGGAACTGACTTGATGGGAGTGAGTTTGGTGTTTTTTTTTTTTTTTGGTTATATA